TATGGGAAAGTTTCTTTGTGGTGTTGCTGAAGTTTTTAGCACAACTATTGTCAGTAATTGTACTGCACAGGCTCAGCCACATTACAATGGCTTTAAGCAACTTGAGGTCTGAAATATGTTACAGTTGTCTTTGTGCTGACATCAACACACTCCCCCACCTACCACCTCCTGGTGCTTAGCATGGGTTAGATGATTATCAATAAATGATGAGAAATGAAGACTGAAATTGCTCCGATTTTCAGCTCATGCAGTGTCTTTGTTGAGAGACCAAGTTGTAGATAAAGAGTTATGAATTTTTAAGTGTGCATTAGATTGGCAATTATTCTACTCCCAGCTTATTCAGTAAAATCATTTGAAAACTACCTTTTTTTAAAACTGAAACGTAGATATATTGTTACTGTTCACAGTGCCTGAGTTACCACCCTAGCTGTAGAGTCAATTGGACAATTAACTTGGAGGAAGTATACTTTTTAACCTTAGAATTAGCAACAGTGGCAAACACATTAAAAAACTCCAAGGGTGAGTACAGTTGCAAATTGGGCACTTGATTATATTTCAGAAGCTATGTGCTGAGCACATGTAGAGACTTGGAAGCTCTTGCATGGCTTTTCTGTAGCTTGAACAGTTGAGTCCACTCAAATTTCAGACCCTGCTAGGATCATCAACCAGCTCTGGATAAAGGGCCGATACCAGAATGATTAGTTACCTGTCACAAAGCATAACAATGCCCAACAAAATAAATTTTAGTCTGTCTTTTAAAAAACATCCTAGTGTATCTTGAATTATAGAATGAATAAGGAAAATGTTTATCTCCTTGGAAGAACATAGGGAGAAAATAATAGAAACTTGCGTTTTCTTTGCAAATTAATGAAGCAATTAGCATTCCTTATTGTTTTTCAGGGCAAATCTATGTTTGTGGCCTTAATGAAAATTGAATGTGGCTTACAAGCTAAACTAGCTGGTTGAAGAACTTTCTGTTTTCCCCCTTTTTCTCCACCTGCATGCTAGTCTATTATTTTTTATGATGCCTCAGTTTTCCCATCTATAAAATGGGGATTATATTGATTTTGTATTGCTATGGTAACAAATTACTACAAATTTAGCAACTTAAAGCAACACCCATTTATTTGCTCACAGTTCTATGGGTCAGAAGTCCAGGGATAGTGTGGCTGGGTTTGCTGCTCAGGTCTCACAAAGCTGCAACCAGGGTGTTGCTGTGATCTCATCTGAGGCTTGTGCTCTCTTCCAAGTCTGGGTGGTTGTGGCAGATTTTGGTTTCTTGTGATTGTGGAACTAAGGTTCTGTTTCTTTGCTGGCTGCCAACCAGGGGCCATTCTCAACATCTGGAGGCTGCGCACGTTCCTTGCCACATGACCCTCTGCATCTTTAAAGCCAGCATGGAGAATCTCCCTCCTGTCAAATCCCTCTCTTGCTTCAAATCTTCTTTGCCAGGAGGAGCCCAGGTCTTTTTAAGAGCTCACCTCATTAAGTTAGGCGCACAGAGGATAATCTCCTTTTTGTAAAGCCAGCTGATGTAGGGCCCTCGTTACAACTGCAAAATCTGTTCATGGCAGCACCGAGGTTAGCGTTCTGCGTATCTGGGAGAACGTGTGCATATCAGGGGGCGAGAATATTGAGAGCTATCTTGGAATTCTGTCTACTACTGGGATAATAGTAATACCTTAGAGTGTTCTTAAATGGCTTGAGATATGTGTGGAAAGTACTTAGCATGATACATAATGCAATGAGATTCAATAAATGGGATCTAGTATTGCTAATGTCCTATTTTCCTGCCTGCATGGATTTTTGAATTATAGCATTATAAGCGCACTAGAAACATGATAGAATATGTTGCTGACTACTTGAATACTCCACAGAAAGCAGAAATACTAGGCCATGGTCAACAAACTCACAAAACCCAATATTTAGTCTATTTGCTGGAAGTTGATGAATTAATTCAAACTTCACAAAAAACAACAACAACAAACCCAAAACCAGGCTACCATTCATGTTGATACTCAAGCCTATTTATAATGTGGCATAAAATGAAATATGTATGGGTTTCTACATTGTTCTTTTTTTTTTTTTTTTTGCTTTTTAACAAGAAAAACGCATTACAGAATCCATGCCTTAAACACTGACATTTTTCAGAAAGAGTTGTTTTGTTTCTGCTCATGCTCTGAATATAAAATGAATACTTCAAATGCTTCATTCATGCCAGGGCCTCTATGCCCCCTTTCTCCCTTCAATAGTTCCAGTCTAGAATAGGCAACATTATGCAATTTGGTGATCCAGCTATAACAACGGGAATGCTTCTCTCTGGCTGTGGGAAGAAAGATACCTAAGGGGTTAACAGTAATATTTTGCAAATTGAGGCAAGTGAAGAAAAAATACATTTGCATTAGAAAAGGTAGCCTTAGGGGATTTTCCAATTCAAATGTTTGGTACTAAGAGCTCCATGTTACCAAGGGGGAGGTTAGTGAAGAAAACCCTTAGTGTCCCATTCTCGAAATACATTGCTATTGTATTTATTCTACTGGAAAGAAAAGACCTCATAGTTAAAGAGATGGAAAATGGTTCTTTCTAGTAAGAAAAGTAAAAATCCGATACAGTAAGAAAAGCATCTCGGAGTATCAAAACAGAGCAAGAGGATTCCTCAGGGATCAATCCCCAAAAGACCATTTCCTAAGTATGTTAGGACTAGACTAGAGGTGGTTTGAAATTAAAAGTAAAAGTCTTAAGCAATGATTTTAATTTTTAACTAGAATGAACCCCAAATGTCTGCAATTAATTGAACTTGAATTTAACAGTTTTTACTCCTTTTAAAAATTGTCTAAGAGTATCTTAGACAATCTTAGACTGTCTAATGCAGTTAGCAGGTATTTCCCTTTTATTAGCACCCAGACTTATGTGAAGATTGTTTTGTAGGAAATACCCAAATAATTATTTTTAGTAGTTAAAAACATTCAAAATAAGTATAAAAGATTCTCACTGATTTCCTTAAGATAGAGAATATACTAATTAGTTGTGACTGTTCCTATGAAGATTTTGAACTAGTTTAAATCAATCTTTTCCTTGCTCTTATAAATGACTAACCAGTAAGAAAGTGATTTATTTGATTCTGAATCTAATTAGCTTTAACACCACAGTGCGTATGGCTGTCCAAATAAATCATGATGCATTTCATTAATAAATTAAGGTGGAGAAGGGCCAGCTTATTTTAGATAAATTGTTTATGACATACACTATCTGTGGGGGAAATGCAAAAAAGATGTTATTTTTTTCTGAGAAAGGTCTTTTCCAATTAATAAGATGCAATTTTGGTTATTAAAAATGGAAATAGCATAAGATCAAAGAAGATCATCCAAGTCCTAGAAAATCTGTCCACAAGTAAAATATTTATGATATTAACACATATCATAAATAATAAAATTAATTATAAGTGCATACAATGGATAAGGGCAATTTTCAGCGACTCATATGTTGGAAATTAATTGAGAAATAAAGCTATACCATGGTCTTTCCATTGTATGCAGATTTAGTTTTCAAATCTTCTGTGGAATAGTGATCTTGTTTATCTTGTACCTTCCTTTGTTCATTTTATATGTGGACATTGAAGAGATCAAGGTTTCAGGTCTTTATTCCTGAGAAGACCTGAGTAAATGGATCTGCTTTCTCAAGCACAAGTAACTCTGAAGTAGTCAATAAGAAAACCAAAGCTTGGCTGGGCGCGGTGGCTCACGCCTGTAATCCTAGCACTTTGGGAGGCCAAGACGGGTGGATTGCTCAAGGTCAGGAGTTCGAGACCAGCCTGACGAAGAGCGAGATGCCATCTCTACCAAAAAATAGAAAGAAATGATCTGGACAACTAAAAATATATATATATAGAAAAATTAGCCGGGCATGGTGGCACATGCCTGTAGTCCCAGCTACTCGGGAGGCTGAGGCAGAAGAATCGCCTAAGCCCAGGAGTTTGAGGTTGCTGTGAGCTAGGCTGACGCCATGGCACTCACTCTAGCCCGGGCAACAGAGTGAGACTCAAAAAAGAAAAAGAAAACCAAAGCTTGAGGGAAAAGGAAGAAAAAAGAGGGAAGATAATTTAAAAAGTACTAGGTAATTCCTCTGTTGAAATTTTCATAATACAATTTTGCTACTTTCTGAGATATTATGAATATAGATATTATCCTATATTAATGTAAGTTCAAAATGCATTCCAAAACTCAAGTGAAATTCTTTTGGATGATCCATGTTATGGTTTCCCAACCCTAGTATGCAAAACTGAGAAATGATTATAGACCAAAACCCTGTTCAGTATAAATCTGACACTTCTATTCCACGTGCTTATTCACAAGATGTGCCATTCATTGGCCCGTTTCCTGCAAAAAGGAGGCAGTATATAGAGTCATTCATTCAGAAATAATTGATCATTGCAAATGCACGTGGGAAGGTGTGGGAATTATTTTTTAATGTGGGAACTGGTTCTCAGCTACCAAATATTTTATCAATAGTCTGAGTTATGCTTTCTGAAAGTTTTCAGATCTGCAGTTTACCACAGACCCTTTATAATCCAACTCTTTCCTATGTTATTGCCACAATGTTTCCTAATTCTGTGAGGAGAAGGTGAAGTGAAGAGAGCTACACTGTTAGAGTCTAAATGGTAAACGGTAGTTTAGAAGGCCTGCTTATTTAGACACACAATCACAGAGGAGCAAGGAGCTTAGAGGTTATGGGTGACACCCTTCTTGCCACCCAACACCCTTCCTTTTACAGAGAGAGAAAGGAAAGCATATTGGGTCATGTTTATTTTACCTCTTGTACTTTTTTCTCTCAGTTCAGGAATCAAAAGACCATCTCCCTTCCTATCTTCTTTTAACTGGGTTTAGCATTTCCTATTTCATTTCCCAACGTGACTTCCTTTTTGACTAGGAATATAGACCCTTAGATATGTTGATGTCTATTTACCTTGGAACTAGGGTACATCAATTTTCTTCCTTTTACAGTATGGAGAACAAAGTCATGCTGCTCTTGATAAAATAACCCACAGATATCAAAACCCATGGTAAGCACATACAAATACATTTTTTATTAATATTATTAATATGTTTCCTTCCTAAATTGGTAACGGTTAATTTTTTTTAACTTTTAAGTATATTACCACTTTTTATTTCATGTAGGTTTTTTGGTAAAGTTATGAATTTCTGTTTCTGATAAACACAGTAAATTTTCACTTTCTGCTAGGTTTTAATTAAGGAGAGGAAAAGAGTAAAGCAAGCATAGTGAGAATAAGAAATTGCTGGATTATAGCGAAGAAAAAGAGAAGCAAGCCTGAAGCTATTAAGAATGGCAATTGCATGAGAGATTGGCTTTAACTTTATAAATAATTCTCTCTGCGGAAAAAAACAATTAATTTTCTTTTCAGTTTAAAAAAGAAAAAAAACCTTATTTCATGCTGTCGGCCTGGAAACCATCATAATGGATAATCTTGATTAATAAACATAATCCTACTGAAGTCACATAATGGCTTGAATTCATGCTATCTTAAGGCAGTTTCTAACCAAAATTAAACACATCTAGCCAAAGACATATTAAATGATGGGGAAAGAACAAAACCAGGGTTTGTCATCTAGATGTAACATATGATTCAGGTTCGATTCAGGTTCCTAAGAGGGAAGGAATTAATCAACATTGCTCTTACAAGATTGCAGATTAAATATTGTCTTTGTTATCATAAGTTTTTAGAGGTGAGGGTTTCTGGGGCCTATTTCACCCCCTTTTTAATGATTAAAGGATACAATTATTAGCATGTGCAAAGTTATTATATTTTAATCTCTTCTTTCTATACCACCACAACATAAACTGCCTCAAAGAGAGACAAGACTTCAATCCCCATGTCAAAAGCCAGTTAGTTACTATTCCAAGATAATAAAAGATCTCACTGGGCAATTCCTATAACTTCTTAAACATATCCCATATTTAAAGCCATAGAGAAATAGTTATACTTTATTGCATGAAAAGTACATATTCTTATTTAAATATTCTAATTCCTTCGTTTAGGTAAATTGCAGGTATCTACTGCAAATACTCTATCTCATATTCCTAAGCAAAGAAAAACATTAAAGTCCATTGAAAATCAATGAAATTTCAATAAGCATTGATGATAAGTGTAAAAGTTGGCTGCATTTAACATAAAAAAAACTTGTTGGAGAGTATCTGAGAAACATTGAAGCTTTGAATATTTTCTTAGATAAAAGAATGTTGGCTATCTTCATTTCTGGGGAATATGCTATGGATTGTACGAGGTCATGAGAATGCAAAACATTTATGAAAAAGACTTTGTACTTAGGGAATTGTGGATTCAATTGGGAAATCGGGCATATATATGAAAGAAAAAAATAGCAAAATCAATTTGTATATGTTGAGAGCCAAATGAATAATGAAAATAACTAGAAAATTATAGTTACGTTTAAAAATCTTTTTAAATGTATTGATGACCCCTGGACTCATCTGTAACTTCTGGGTTGGGTCCTATTTCTTTTTGTTTAAAAAAAATTTTTTTTGTTTTATTTCAATATATTAAGGGGGTACAAATGTTTTTGTTACATGGATACCTTGTATAATGCTTAATTCGAGGCTTTTTAGTGTGCCCATCACCAGAATAGTGTTCATGGTACCAGATAGGTAAGTTTTTACCACTCATCCTTTCCCATCCTCCCCCCTTCTTGGTTTCCAACGTCCTTTACATCTCTTTGTGCCATGTGTGCCCATCATTTAGCTCCCAATTATTAGAGAGGACATGCAGTGTTTGTTTTCCCATTTGGGTCCTATTTCAAACTAATCAGATACCAATAACCCAAATGTTGCTTCCCTCTTAAGACTTTAAACACCCATGCCGTTTAAAAGCTTCTCTGCCCCACTCTTGGGCTAGCAGGATATCCTTGAATACGGTACCAACTCGGACAGACCCAGCTGTGCTCTAAATTGGCCTAAGAGCCATCTCTTTCCTGGGCAAAGTTAGTGCTTGGCCTCCCCATCAGTTTTCATGTTCTATTCTCAGTCAACAGCATTCACTGAATAAATTCAGCACTGCCTATGTTCAGAGCGCTGTTAGATTCTGTGGCCATGATAGCGAATAAACCAGTCTCAGTTTATGCCCTTCTTGGAACTTGTATTCTAGGGGAGGAGAGAGATAGTAAATGTATGGCTTTTCAAAAATATTATCCTGGCCGGGTGTGGTGGCTCACACCTGTAATCCTAGCACTCTGGGAGGCCGAGGCGGGAGGATTGCTCAAGGTCAGGAGTTCGAGACCAGCCTGAGCAAGAGCGAGACCCCGTCTCTACTGAAAAATAGAAAGAAATTAGCTGGACAACTAAAAATATACATAGAAAAAATTAGCCGGGCATGGTGGAGTGTGCCTATAGTCCCAGCTACCTGGGAGGCTGAGGCAGGAGGATCGCTTGAGCCCAGGAGTTTGAGGTTGCTGTGAGCTAGGATGACCCACGGCACTCTAGCCTAGGCAACAAAGCGAGACTCTGTCTTGAAAAAAAAAAAAAATTAAAAAAAATATATATAAATATATTATCCTGTTTTTCATGCTTCAAAAACAGTTTTTAAAATTACAAATATAAATCATGCTTGTGGCAACAAATCGAACAATATAGAGGTATACTGAGGAAAAAGTTAATCCCCTGCCCTAATCCATCTAGTTCGTGACAAAACAGTACATTATGAAGGGTATTTATAGGAGTAAGGAGAAGGTTTCCCTGGGGCACCCACCTGGATGGAGGGTTGGAGAAGTGTTTACCAAGAAAGTGATTATTAGGCTGGTATTGAAAGGGTGAGTATAAGATCATTCCTGGCAGAGGGAAAACATTAGCCAGGTTCTGACGTAGAAAGGAGAACATCAAGTTAGGACCCGTGCTGTCAGCCCACAGAAATAAATGAGGAGACTAGTAAGATGAGGATCAGGTTTTGTAGAACTTTGTGGGCCAGGTTAGGGAATTTGGATTTTAGTCTAAGAACAGAGAGAATTCACTGGAAGATTTAAAATAGGAAGCAGCATGATCCAAATTTTTTGGTTAAGATCATTCTGGAATGTTGTAGTCCTGTGTGGAGAATGAATGAATTGGAAGGTGACAAGAACAGTTCTAGGAAGATCAGCCAGGAGATGATTTCATTTTTACAGGCCGTCTTGAGTTTTCAGTGGGCTTTGCTGACAGCCAAAACAAACGTGCTTACAGAGAGCTGGGACAAGGCGAAGGGTCTGAGCTGAATTTTTAAAGAAACACAGGCTTTAAATAAATGGAAAAAAGAGGGGACAATATTTGCTATAATGATGGGGAGTGTTATAGCAATCTGATGAAGCAGATTTAACATAGTCTTTGAAATTTGATGTCTTCACCTGTAAAATTAAGATAGTCACATGACTAAGGGCCACAGAGCTAGTGTTTCGGGCCACATTGACTGATTCTATTGATCCAGGTGTGACCTGGGCTTGGACATTTTTAAAGAGCTCTACAAGTGTTTGCGATGAAGGGCTGAGAACCTCTAGCGAAGACTGAGAAAAGAAGGGGATACCCTTGAATAGGGTACTGTTGGGGTTGCCATGGGGGTGCCCACATTGAGGGCAAGATCAGTGGGAGCCACTGCAGGAGAAAAGGAGCCATAGAGGTCGGTGACTTAGGACAATAGAAAGCCACCAAAGCCAGTGAGGGATTTCAAAGAGACTTTAATACAGGGAAACAGAGAAATCAAGGAAAATACCAGACAAATATTTGGAAGTTATCGGTGGCCTTAGAGAAAACAGCGTAGGAAACTAGGATGATGTGAGTCTATATTACCAGTGTCAAAGAATGTTTGTCTACTAACACAGTGAAGGCAAGAGTCCACTCTTTTTTTTTATTTTTTATTTTTTTTGAGACAGAGTCTCACTTTTGTTGCCCTGGCTAGAGTGAGTGCCGTGGCGTCAGCCTAGCTCACTGCAACCTCAGACTTCTGGGCTCAAGCGATCCTTCTGCCTCAGCCTCCCAAGTAGCTGGGACTACAGGCATGTGCCACCATGCCCGGCTAATTTTTCTATATATTTTTAGCTGTCCAATTAATTTCTATTTTTGGTAGAGATGGGGTCTCACTCTTGCTCAGGCTGGTCTCGAACTCCTGAGCTCAAACAATCCGCCCGCCTTGGCCTCCCAGAGTGCTAGGATTACAGGCGTGAGCCACCACGCCCGGCCGAGTCCACTCTTTTTGAGACGAGACATTCACTAGAGGACAATTACAGGATTTCCTCCATTCTAAGGCACGCTTTTTAATTTTAATTTTCTTGAAATCAGGACAGGTTTTATAATAGTTGTTTGTAAATATAATGCACAAATGTAGTGCTGATTTTTTTTCCTTCCACATAAAGCTGTGTTAAATCAGTGGTATGTTATACAATTTATTGCATCTTAAAGACCAATAAATACGTACTTTAGCAAATATGGAATGATGACTTGCTGTGTGCCACGTGCTTGGAATTTAAAAATTAATAAGCAGGGCCCTTACTGTCAAGTTGCTGAGAGACTTTCAAGATAGATGATGTAAACAGAGGATTCCAGTACAATATACATCAGTGGAGAACGATTGTAGTAATTGGGTGTAGGTTAACACCCTCTTTTCTTAATTAAAAGAAAGTGCTTTTGTTCTAAATAGCTCAGGTTTCTCTAGATACGTGACCCAGTGATTTATTCATTTCCATACAGTCTTTTCTGTTTGCAGTTGGATGTGTTCCAATATATACATACATTACTTCTAATTTCCACAAGCAGAATAAAAAGCGTAGGTAGAAAATAGAGGAACAGTTTCCAGCCCAAGTAAGAGAAATCATAAGAGAATGTATTTGGCGAACGATGAATTGGCAGGGCTTTTTATTCTAAGAGGTCAGTGAATTCTGTAGAAGCTGCACGCCGTTACTGGAGAGCTCACTCTAGCCTCTTAGGGAAGGCCTTTAACAAGTAATACGAAGGCTGACTTCGGGGATGCCTCTGTTTCTCTTTTCTGATGACAGAAAACTTTCTTTTATAATA